CAGTAGATATTTTTATGGGTTGATTGACACTTTCGATTTGTGTGAATTTGAAATGTAATACAAAAACAAACTACTTAAAAGTATTTTGGAGAGATAACAGGTAGTTTTGAGTGAAATTGACTTCATTAGGCATGAAGTACTTTGCAAGAAGCTGANTGTTAGATGAGAACAAAAAAGAATAAAATTCCATAAATGATAAAACAGTATCCTATTGACTTCAAAGATAAGCAACTGAACTGTGTAAATTGGCCGAACTAGAATGTGGCCTTTCGTACTCATCACACGAAAGTAAACATCAGCTGGAAAGTCAAGCTAAAATCAAGTATTTCATGATAAAAATGTAAATCAAATTACAAAAGGAATAACACTGACAATTAGAAGAAGAACAATGAAAAAAATATGACATAATTAACAGTTTCGTTATAGTTTGATTTACATTTTTATCATGAAATCCTGATTTTATCTTAAACTAGAAGAAGAACAATGAAAAAAATATGAGATAATTAACACTTTCCTAGATAACAACAACGTGCACATTTCACTGGTAATCAGTAGATATTTTTATGGGTTGATTGACACTTTCGATTTGTGTGAATTTGAAATGTAATACAAAAACAAACTACTTAAAAGTATTTTGGAGAGATAACAGGTAGTTTTGAGTGAAATTGACTTCATTAGGCATGAAGTACTTTGCAAGAAGCTGAGGATTGAAAAGATTTTTTAAATAAGGAAAAATACTCACGGATAGTGATTAGGCGATATCAAATATAAACTAGGCGGAAACTGTCTGCAACTTGTAATGAGTCAAAACGCCCCCTCTCGACTGTATATTTAGTCATCTTGCTTGATAATATCCGTAAAAGTAATGTACAGCAATAACAATAATGACGATGGTATCAAAGCAAAATGGTAACTAAATTATTAACGACAGAGGCAATATGAATTATCGGATATCATTCGCAATACTCATTCATTGGCGAGGTAATCATATGAGAAAAGTGAACAGAGAGTATGAAATGCGATGGGAGTTTAGAAAGAAAATTGAATTAGTTGAATTCAAATATTTGAAATTTTTCAGGTAAAAGTTCATAACATTCAATGCTCAAATGTCGAAATTCAATAACGAGTTTAAGAATTGAGATAATAATGATAATAATAACAATAATGATATTTTGTTGACCAAGTAATGCGGAAGTGATATTGCAATTTTCTGTGATGAAAATTTGCAGAAAAAAGGATTTGCAATGACAATAACATTAACAATAATGATACTTTGGTGACCAATTAATGCGAAATGATTAATTGGTCACCAAGGTATCATTATTATTACGGTTATTATCATTATCGTTATTACCTCGATTCTTATTCTCATTAATGTTGAGAGTGCATATTTCAGCGCTACTTCAAAATTTCATTCGTGTTGAAGCTCAAGGAATTGGGGTTCAAATTTTGACATTTTACAAAGAAAACAGAGATTCAAAAGGCTGCATCTAGATCGAACGTCTTCTCCTTCTCGACACTCAACACGCCGGCTTTTTGATATTCACTGACGCGACGTTCGAAGAAATTCGTTTTCGCTTCAATCGATAAATTCTCCATAAAATCGAACGGATTTTTCGCATTGTAAAGCTGAAATGAAGAGAAAATTTGTTCTAACTGTAATGATGTAAACATTCAAAATTTCTCAATTTCAATTCTTTGAATGAAACCAATTAATTCGAGATCAAACAGCAGTTCAAAAGCACTGAATCTCGATCGAAAATGTCGATGATACCGCCGGATGTTCGAGATAGAACAGATGACGTGTTCGTATGAGTGAAGACATGGCAAGGATGAATATTACGATAAAAATATAAAAATACAATAATATTACAGTAATACATCGATCACCTTTGGGTAGCTGAGCTCAGTGAGTAGATGATCAGCAACGTATTCAATATATTCTGACATTAACTTTGAATTCATTCCGATCAAACTTACTGGCAGCGCCTCGGTTAGGTATTCCTTTAATTATTAAGATTATTCAAGGACTATATTAAAGGTGGTAATCATAATAATGACAATAAAAAACGATAATCATTATGCTACTGATTATGATAGAAATAAGTACCTGCTCGAGGCGAACAGCTTCTTTGATGATTTCATAAACCTTTTCTTGGCTGGGTTTGTTGACGATGTATTTGTATAGAAGACAAGCGAAATCACGATGCAAACCCTCAAAGTGAACACTTTTCATTAACGGTATTCTGATTATCATTGCTCTTATCATCATCACTGCATAAACATCTTAAAACTAGATTCAATCTTCACATTCAATTAACCTAATCCAATCAATTTCTTCCAACACATTTCTCATCAACTGAAAACGAGCGACTCCCGTAAGAGGCAAAAGTTTGGTATAGAAATGATACGAAAAAAACAACTCAATTCAACTTATCCACCGTAAAATTACCTCATCACGTGAAATCAACTCGTTGCTATGTGTTAAACCTTTCATAACGCCACGTTTTTTCAACCAAAATATCGCAGCAAAACTTCCCGAGAACATTATCCCTTTAAATGATCACCGAATATGAATTTGAAAGTTGACAAAGACAATTTGAAAAATGAGCCAAACTTCATTCAAACTAAACAAGTGATTCCTTCAAAATAAACGATTGATTTTATTGACACGAATGAGAGTCATCTAATTCCCACCAAAATCAAGTATTCCCATCAATGGAAATACCAAAACGATGATGCCTGCTTGAAACCCGTTTCCGTGCAACTGACAAAAAAAATTAACCTTCCACGGCCGCAAACGCGATGAGACGTATCGCGAATGGTTCGTCGGTATTTTCAATCCAACGGATCGCCCAATCTGCCTTCTTTTTGATACATTCAAACTGATGGATCGCATCAAAATGCTTCATCCTATCATTAATTATTATTATTGTTATTGCTATTGTTGTTATTATTACTTATTAATGGTATCATCACTACTGCTATTATCATTTGCTGTTTCCAATATTGTTCCAGTTTATCACTATTATTAATCATTGCTATTGTTGTTATTGATATCGCCAGTTCAAGTTATCACAATGATAATCACCATATTATCCACACCCATTCCAAGCATAATTATTACTTCAGAAATACGGCTAATAATAAATCATTTACATTCAATAACATCTTTAAATTTATTTCAACAGCTCAGAATACCCTCAAAAATCATCCGACCTCTAAATAAAAGTTCAATCAACTCACTGCTCAACAGGATCTCTGATGTAGACTTCGATCATTTTCGAATACATCTCCGAATGCACACCCTCAATCATTATTTGAAATCCATAGAAGAATCTTGCCTCGGGTATTTGAACTTCCACAGAAAAATTTTTTGTCTGCAATCAAATTCAGGTCAATTCACCACGAATCATTCACATCAATAGATTCAAAACTTTCCTATGTTCTTTGCAATTGAAAAAACTGCTGATGTATTACTCTCATCTTTTATAAAATTAAACATAATTAATGAAGCGAAGCTGCATTGATATTAACTTGATCATATTAATTTCATCGTACAAACATTGCTGTCGTTATCGTTTGTGATGATTATTACTACTGAAAATTGTTATCTACATGAGTATTATTGCTATTACTGTGATCATCGATATATCGATATTGATCATAATGTTATCGATATTGTTGCTATTACTGTGATCATCGTTGTTACTATCGAAAAATCAAAATAACCAACCAAGTTCTCGTTAACAATACCATCGGATGCGGCGAAAAATGAAAGAACACGCGAGATAAAGAATCTCTCGTTGTCGGTCAATTGTTGCCAGTCCCCATAGTCATGCGATAAATCAATCTGAATATAAATAAAATAATTATAATGACAAGATTAACAGTATTATTATCAACAATAAGGACAAAAATAATGTTCAAGAACCTCATCAGCAGTCCAAAACGATGCAACAGCATTCTTGTAGAATGTCCATATATCGTGATATTTAATCGGGAATATGACGAAGCGCGATGGATTTGAAGCCAACAACGGTTCCTCAGATTTTTTCGCACTTGGATTTATTAACTGCTGCACTGGCACATCAGCAGACGCTTCAGTTACCTGATATTAGATATTATATGTTATATGATGCTATATGAACTTCAACATGAAATACATTGGGATGCTAAAAAAATTCAAACTCTGATTATTTGCCCAATAACATATCAATTTTCTTATATCCCTTCATCCGAACAAGTGTGGACATATGCATGTAACTGTTAACTATGTTTCTATCTCAGCATAATCCTTAGCACTTAAAAAGTTGGACATTTCAGTAGGAATGATCGTTACCAACAATAGGATTGCAATCATGCAATCAGCAATTAGTGCGATCAACGGGTAAATACTACTCTTGGAGCTTTTTCATTTCCTCATTAATCTGTTTAGAATTTACGTCTCAAAATGAATATCTCATTGAAACAAGAAATATCAATGAGGAAATGGGAGCAATTCTTGTATCTTCTCGGTATTCAAAGCCACCACGGTTGGCCTTCTCAATCCAAACAGTTATGCGGTCCCTTTATAATTTCCACTACAGGATATCGATATAATAAGAATGTTCGGTGAAACTCCACAAAATTCATGGAATTTTTAGCGTTCCAGCAGTTCCACAATTTCAAGAGTTTGAATTTTTTTACCATGTAACAAGACTCATGGCAGATCCGATTCATCCTTCTCAACATCTCTCTTATCGCGTTTCATAACGTTTCAATCAAATAAAAACTCTCCCGTGCAGACTTAACTGGGAATGAGAATTGTTCAAATGAAACGGTATATTCCATGCGATATCATCACCGAGAACTTATGATCGTTATA